CTCCCTGGGTGAAGCCCCCTGGCAGTTCTCCTCTCCCCTTTTTAAGGGCCAATAAACGCTTTTGTAAAGATGGTCTGTAATGGTGCCTGGTCCCGTAAGGGTCCCAGCAGCCGGTGCAGAGCCGGGGTGCCGGGACCCCCCAGGGACGCTCGCTCGCTGCCGGCATCCCCAGCGAGTGAAGGCAGAGGATGGCTTCCCGCACCCCGCGTCACCCTCGCCGCCGAGCGGCACCTTCGCCGCCGAATTTCTCAGCCCCCGCAAACCTCTGGTGACTCTGCCCCATCCATGACCGGCGACGGAGAAAGCAACATTCCGCTCCCATCTGCCAGTGCACTAAGAAAATGAGAGCTGATTAAAGTCCGTCCCCTCCTGAGCAACACTGGCCATGGGCAAATTGCTGACACAACCTATTTAGTAGCATCAGCAGGCAGGGGGACTTTCCTCCCTCCGCAGCCATCCAGATTCAGATGGGTTTGGGGTCGTTTGGGTGTGCTGCTCTGAGCGTTGGCTACAGTCAAAAGAAGTGGTTTAATTGCACAGAATGGGCGTGTAAATTGGATTTTTTTTCTTCCATCGCCTGTTAAAAAGGTTGGCTCAGGCAAGTGCCTTTCCTTGCAGACCTGCTCCTCCACCCCGCACCGCGCGAGGATGCCGGGATGGGTGGGAAGGAGCTCAGAGGAAAGGGCTCCTGTGTGCCCACACCACCCCAGCAACCCGCGTCGCCGGGAAGGCCCCCGTAGCGCCAAAAACTCTCCTGTTTCTTGAGGCAGGCAAGCTGGAAAGCCCCATTTCCCTCCCATTAACCTCCACCTGCGAGCACTTTCTAGAAGGCAGCCAAGAACAGTAAAACCGGGGAGATTTGCAAAATAAACAGCGATCCAACACAAAGACCTCGGTTCCTGCTCCGGAGGGCGTCTGCCAAGACGCACAGATCGTATCAGGCTAATTTACAAAAGGAAAACCGCCCTAATTAGTGTTCAGGAAAGCACTTTAATGAGAAGCGCGTTAGTGTAAAAAGCAAGAGCGCCAAGAGGTCAAGTCATTCCTAAATGCCAGAAAAACAGGAAACTATGCCTGCCCAGGCCACAGCACCATTTTCTCACTTTTTAAATAATATTTCAGGTTATTAGTGAGGAATTTATAAAACCCAGAGCCTGATGCCCAGTGACGGTGCAGAAACACTGTACGCAACAAGCTCTGAGCATCGTAACACCAGATGCGGCCAGCTCACCCTGGGGAGGGTTAGGCAGCCCTCGCAGACACCTCCCCTCCGTTTTGGGGCATAGCGTAGGTTTTATGGCTGGAGTTCCCCTTGCGAAGGGGAGACCAGAAGCCCTGTCAATGCTACGAGTCCCGTCTTGCCGGCGGCTGTGACGGTGGCTAGTAACCATGGCAGCGGGGAGATTTTCACGTGATATTGGTATTTCTGCAGCACAAAAGAGCCTCTTATCTAGAATGAGTAACTAGTTTGGCTGGTCCTCATTCCTCCGCTTATTGCTAAGACAGAGCGGCACGGCATGGCCCACATGATGCTCACCCTGGGGCAAATTCGGACCATCCCCTGGGAGACCCACGGGCTGGGACATATGGGAGGTTCCGGAATGCAAAAGGATGCTCACACGGGTGCTGCGGCAATGGTCCTGCCGCACGGAGACAGGCCCAGCCCACCACTTCTGAACGGTTGAAGCTGGAAAGGCAGCGGTGGCCGTCCCGGTGAGCTCAAGCTTGCAAAGCGAGCGCCTGCAAAAAGTGTGGAGCACGCTGGGCCGTGCCGTCCCCTGGACGTCGCAGCCCAGAGCTGGCGGGGATGTCCCACGGCCGCCCCGTAGCATCTCTCTCACTTCTCCAGTTGTTTACCTTTCCTCCCAAATTCCTTCCAATTCATCAAAGAAAACAGTTTTTAGACTTTAACTGTTTGACTTCCAGCTCTTCTCATGCATCAAGTGACTTCATCTTGAGGGCACTCACAAGGCAGGTGCGGGACCTAAAAGCAGAAAAAAATGCATGAAATAACGTAGGTATCTAGGCTTTACTTCTTCAGATGACTCAAACCCAACTCGCTGGATATCGCTCAGATCTCCCTAAGACATTCACCCTAGGGCACGAACCAAAGTTGGAAAGTTTCATCCCAAAATAAGAATGGGGAAATGAGGAAAGAATGAGAAAAGGAAAGACGTCATCCAGCCCGAGCTTAGCCTAAGCTGCTGCTGAACGCTGGTGTGGGCACCCTGTGTACCTCTGTGTGACCCTTTCCCGAATGGAGGTCTGGCTTTTTTTTCAGGGTGTTAACTCCAGTGGGACCATTACTGCACTTAAAAGAAGCTGTGTGCTCAGGGCAGAGAAAACCAGACTCGTATTAGCTCCATTTTTGAGGAAGGTAAAAGGGATTCAGGGGGATTTAATTGCAACCATGACTCAAAGCAGACCTACACAATGGAAAAAAATATATATAGGCAGAAAAAGTGGTTTACAGACTGTTCCCAGAATTAAGAGCATGTCCTGCTGGTTAGGGTCTCCAGGTTTCAAGGTTGAAGTGCTTAATTTTATTTCAAGCTTTCTAATTAAACACCATTTAACTGGGCTTTCCATTTATCCTGCGATTTCTTTCTAGACCTGAATCTAATCCCCAAACCTGCTTATTTGTTTTTACTTTCGTTATAACCCTATCAGTGATTAACCTGCAATTGCACTTAATCTTTTTAAAAGATTGCTCCGACTATAAATACAGAGAAGCTACCTGCCCTGTTCTACCCAGAGGGAAACAACTTCCTCCACAGTCAGATGTCTGTGGTGGGTTATGTTATTCCTTTTGTAAGTTGAATTTTTATCGGAGACATTTGTCTTCTCCAACTTCATACAGAACATTAAATCAGTATCACTTTCCTGAAAGACGTGACAGCACAGGCCACAAGGAACATGAATACCCCTCCAGTATAAAAAGTGTGTGTGTGTGTGTGTGTATATATATAAGTACCCATATCTATACATATATTAAAACAGTATATATAAAGCCTCCAGTAAAGATGCTATTTGTGACAGTGAGGCAAAACCTAACACATTCATACAGATCCGACAACAGCAAGCTCTGCTCCTTCAGCAGTTATCTATTCCACTTACTTCGCTCAAAAGCAGCAACAGCTAAAATATCGTTGCAAGAAAACCTGATTTCTATGGCTATGAACCTCTGAGAAATCTGTTAAACAGAAATATAAGTCAGGAGGAAGACTGCAACACAGAATTTCCAGGGTGCTGGACTGCAACTGCCCGGCAAGATCCCTCAAATACTGCATTAATATTATTAGAGGATCTGCTATCCAACACTTGAGGACATCAAAGCAGAATGAGCAAAAGCTAATAAGAAGCGCAGTAAAGGTACATGGAGCATTACCAAATCCATCAGGAACATTACAAGGGCAGTGGAAGGAACAGACCTGTGATAAGTGCACGCTGCAGGATATTGAATAGGAACCCGTGCAAAGGGAGCCCACGGCAAATACAGCAAAACTGGTAAATGAATGGAAATACAGAATTCAGCAGAAAGCCAGTTTATGGCAACCCCCAAAACAAGAGGCACTAAACGAGCTGCCCATCTCCTTAGCCTACCTGTCATTTCTAAATAGTCCTGCACAGCAAATAGATCTGAGCTCAACTCTCCAACCCAGCCTGTAAGCCCAATCCTACCTTGACCTTAATTATTACCTGGAGAATAATCTCTCTAAAGAACTAAAGCTGTAAACAGATCGCAGAGGAGGATAATTTCAAATCTCCCCGCGGTTCCAGAATTACCAGTTATGTAGCCATCACCATCTAATGCTGCATGCTGAAAATGAAGATCTTCACGCAAGTATTTGTCATTTAAGAAGGCTTTTTTCCCTCCTTCTGGTGATTAAAAAAAAATATTACAATTCTACTACTAGTATTACGTGGCCTCTGGGCCTCTAAAAAGTTTGTTGCAAAATCTGTGAACCGCGCGTGGGGACTTTCCTGGCGCCGTCGGTGCATCAGTGAACAAAAAGATGGAAAACAACTGGAATTTTGAAATAAATCCACGGCAAATGAACAGTAATCTACGTGGTGTTTATTGTAGATATAGTGAATTATGAAAGCCATTACAGCCCACTATTTATTTAAATGCTTTTTCTAAACTGTATCAAATCGTAGCAGAAAATCAGACCCCCAGTTTGACTTTTGCACGTTTCCTGGTTTGATTATATAAATATTTATATAGGGGAAAAAAATACTTTGCACTTCTCACTGAAACCTTCAACTCAGCAGGCAACCACTTGCAAATGACTGAGACTGAGAAATCTTAAAAGAGGTTTGGGTGAGTGCAGGTTTTCCCCTGCACTGTTAAGGACAGTGATGGCTTCAGACCCTCCTGCGGTATATTGGAGCTCATTAAATTTGTTTAAAAGAGAGCAAGCCATCGTTAATTAACACTAACCACCACAGAAACCCATCTATTTTGCAAGAGAGGGAAAAAACGCAACAAAATAAGAAGACCCCGTAGGAGGTGAAGATCAGCCCCAGGCTGCTGACGGGAAGAGGGATCACCCACGTACGGGGGCGATGCCGGCGCTGACACCCTTCACGAACAGCCTGGCCGTCTCACGGCCAGACCTGCGAAACCTGCAGCGCTGCTCCCAGGATTTGCTGAACACCGGCAAAGTCCCTCGGCCATGGCTCCAGGGCTGCTCCCAGGATTTGCTGAACACCGGCAAAGTCCCTCGGCCATGGCTCCAGGGCTGCTCCCTGCGGCAAAACCTGCCCCAGCTTTTCCTCCAGAGGGTGGAAACTGGCTCCTCTCGATGGAGCCAGCAGTAGCATGGAGACCTGGCCAGCCAAAGCCTTGGGCAGGGTCTGCATCGTCTCACCTGGCACTGTCTCGCCCATCACTTTTCGCCGCCTCTCAGCTCACCAGCAACTCGCTCCGGTTGGCTCTGGGTTCGAGGAAGATGAGAAACTGTTGGTGCTGGAGGAAGATCAGACACCTTGAGCCATCAGCCGGGTGTGCTGGCTGCTGACCAGGCAGTCGCCTTCTCATCCAGCGCCTGGTACCAGCACGGTTGGGAGAGTACCTTCACAAGCACCCCGTTGCAGCGATGAGCAGGACCAGAGTGGCTTCTCCGTGGGAAACACGGCCAAGAGCCAACAAAGCGACCGAAAGGGGCTGGAAATTGGCTGCTGGAAATGCGGCAGGTCACTGAGGACCGGCAATGAGCGCACGGGACCACCTGCATGCTCGTGCAGGCTATGGACTCTGGCCCGATTCTGAAACGCTGGCTGGGAGAGGAGAGCACTTACTGCAGTTCTCTTTCCCGTGCCAGCTGGAAACCGACACGGCTTCTCCCTTCCTGCGCTCGGTTTATCCCTCCGGCAGTGGCAGGCTGGTGCACCCGTGGAAACCCAGGGCTGGAAGGGATCTCCAGGAACATCTCATCCAGGATTGTGCTTCTCCATCCCTGAAAGATGCTCATCAAATCTCTCCGTAACAGCCACCGGCAACGGAGAGCCCACCACCTCCCTGGGGTGGACGGCTGGCAGGAACTCCCCTTCCCAGCAGCAAACCCCAGGTGGTCTCGGCACCACGCAGGGACCCTCAAGCATCTTGCAGTCTGTGCACACCAGGACGGACCTCGGCCTTCTCGTGACAGCATGATTCAGCCTGTGCTTGGCTTGTGTGCATAGTCCACATCCTTTTTGGATGAATCACTCTCCAACTGCTGCTGACAACCTTCAGCCCAACAGAGAGACCTTGTTGTTTTTCTCCCCGGTTGTTTCTGGCCAAGCAGTGACTCGGCTGTCAGAGGTGAATAACTCTTCACACTATCTGAACACTCGCTAACCATCCAGAGCCATAAAAAGCAATTTCTTCAGCGCTCCCTCTCTGTAAGGCTGGATTTTGAAGCAAGAGGGCTGGTCTGAGATTTAGGGGGAATATTCATAAAGATGCTCAATAAAAATAGATCTCCAGAGCACAGATACCTTGTACGGTTCTGGGTCATATGGCAGAGGGTTTTATCAACAGTGAGTGAAGATCTAGGCAGAAAAGAAAGGCAGATCCTACCCACAGCACTTAGCGAAGCCTACAGCCACTGCGTGGAAATCGTTAACAACAAAAAGCTTCTACCCCAGGCATTTGCCTGACTCCTACTCCTGCCCCAGGACCTGCTTGTTTTTCATTTCTCTTCCTTTTTCTCTTCTTCTTTCTCCGAAATCTCAGCAGCAAGGATTTCTTCCTCTTCTTGTGCCGTAGAAATCACACGAATGGTGACTAAACTATCAGAAGATTTTGAGGATATTTCTTCTCCCGGGCCAGTGGGTGCTTTGTTGGAGATGACAGGCGATCTCCGGTGCACTGGTGATTTCGGTGGAATCGGACTGACGCTGGAATCCTACAATCATAAAAAAAAAAACAAACAACAACCAGGGCAAAATCAACCTTAGCAGACCCTTGTCCACCACCCCGAACCACGGCGTCTGAGCTGTGCAAAGCCAGGCAGGCGTTTTGAGGAGTTTCACCGCGCCGGACCTCATCATCGGGATGTCAGCTTGCTGCCAGAGATGACCCCTGTGAGAAAGGCAGCTGGATTATATCCTGCACATCTTGAGAGAAGTGTACAGAGATGAGTGCAACGCTCACACCTCCTGCGCTAGCTCTTGTTTTGCTCCCGAAGCATCTGGAGGGGTTGATCTTGGCAAAAGCTTGGCAGAAGCGTTGTTGTGAGGGAGCAGCCCTGGACTGCCCTGTCTTAAAACCTCCTTTAGAGAGGAGCCTCAGAAACCTCACCTACGTGCCATGGACAGGGCTGTCCTTCTAGTGGGGTCCTGCTAACCCCATTAGCGAGGTTAGCTCCTAATACGTGCACCCTCCGATGACGGGTCTCGTTGCCACTACTGTATAGACCACGGGGTGCCACTGTTCACCGCTGCCTTTAACTGGTTATTAATTAGTGTTAAGCACTGCAGTGTGTGAAGCCTCGTCGTGCTTTTGTGAAGGACTGCAGAAACGCAGTCACGCTCAGCGTCTCCCTGGAGATTTACCCAGCCTCAAGGCCACCGCGCACTCCCTATCAGCTGCTCTTTCACCTCCCTGTACACGTCCAGATGTGATAGTCTGCATAACTCCATGGTGGGAAGAGTAACAACAAGGTCTGCATGGAGATACGACCTTTTTTACGAGTTCAGCGGAGACACTTGGAAGGGGGGGGCGGGAAGAGCAGGGCTACTTTCTTTTTCAGTTGCTCGACAAAAAAGCGAGGGTGATTTGACTGCAGCTCATGCAGAGCTGGCAGGATGGCGTGCCTGCTGCTGGGGGCCTCGGCCCCAACCACACTGTGAAAGCTTTGCAAATATTGACTGGCCTGTGGATGCTGAATACCAGTATCACCCTCCGTCCCGCCAGCACATCGATTAATTACGAGTGGCTCTGTCTCTGTGGCACAGCCCAGCTAGAAACTAGACTCAGGCTTAGCATAGCTGGGCAAAAAGTCAAGGTATTTCCCTTCTGTGTTGCAAAACAAACCCTGTGAGACAATGACACTCTCCCAAGGCCGTGTGTAAGATGCTGGACCACCACTTCCCATTTGCCTGCGCTACGTCAGGCCCCGATGACCTGAGCTCACTCCTTTAAGGCACCTTAATGACAGTCTCTGGAGCTGGTCGGGGAGAGCAGCAGCTTGGCATCTAAGGAAGCAAAGCCAAATTGCCATCCTCCCCATGCTGACCTGCGTCGCCTGCGTCGCCTTCAGCTCCTTCAGCCTCCACTGGAGCTGCGCCAGCGGCCCTTTTCGCCCCGTCCTCCCCATGGCGGCCAGGGCAGCCCGGAAGAGCTTCGGGGTGCTAGCTTTCGGGCGGATGATCAGCGGGTCTCCGGGTGCTCCCTTCTCATCTTTGCGTTTATTGTTTTGCAGCATTCTCCTACAGCAAGGAAAAGGAGAGATGATTTCAGTCCGGGGACATGTTATATTAGCTTGATTTTATAATGCAGAAAAATCAGACTTTAAAAGGACAGGAATTTTTTACGCCTTAGGAAGGACAGAACAACAAATCTAAGTAATGCTAAAAACTAAAGTGAATGTTTTAACAGATTTTTTTAAATGAATGCACTTTGGCCGCGTTGGTTCCCGAGTTGCACCCGCTTTTAGCGGTGAAGCTTCGCGGCGGGGCTGGGCTGGCTCTGGGCACCTCCGGCCTCCCCAGCCCAGCGGTGAGGGACGGGTGCCCTCTGCCGAAGCGCGGCAGCTCCAGCCCGGCTCTCCTCCGGGGACGTGTGCCTAATGCCTGGTGCCTGCAGCGGGAGTTTTCCCAGTGCTTCGCACGGAGAGGAATCTCCTCTGCGATCTTGAAACCTGTGCTCTGCTTTTTTTAAAACCCCACAGGCTAGAAAGCAGCAGCCCGACACGCACTTGGCCTTTTTACGCAGCAGCTTCTGAGACTCGGGATAATGCACCAAAATCTCGTTCAAGTCCTTCTTATCCAAAATGAAGAGGTTAGCAAAGCCGTGAGCTACGACGTTTGCTGTTCGGCGATTTCCCCCTCCTGCCGCCAGCAAGCTGAGGGAGACATGGCGAGACGTTAACGCTGTTATTAACGGGCTCAGCACAGTATTTGTCATTTAAAACCTCCCTTTTCCCATCGTGTCCCCCCACCTCTCTCTTTCAGAGGACTCCGAGTTTAATTTTCACCCCCAGTGAAATTTTCCAAGCCCAATTTTTAAAGACTGCTGGGAAACGTTGGCATGGAGCGCTACATAAAAAATGATTTGCCTGTTTGAAGGTTTAAATGTTGCATTTTACACCACTCTAGCGTCTGCTGGGCTACAGGGAGGCAAACTCTATCACTGTGTTACAAATGCTACAGGACTTTACATGCCCATGAAATGGGCAGATTAATGGCTGGGAGGCTGTTTTATTGAAACATCTTTTCTGATTCATTTTCCCATCCCTCCATATACCTCTGCTTACTGTCACTAGCTCCCCAGGCAGAAAACATCACAGTGACAAAAACAGCGGAAAAGCTCCAAGAAAAAAGCTGTAATTTGTGCAGCAGATGCTGCTCAGTGCTCGTGGCTCTCAATCACAACGATTAATCAGGGTGTTGCTGATCTCCCCACCTCCCACCCTCCTCGCCCAGAGCCCACAAGCTGTATTTCCCCGGCTCCCTGGCCATGCTTCACCCACCTTATTTCTCCAAACACGGATCCGGGTTTCAGAGTCACCAGCACGGTTTTGCCATCGGGTCCCCCCAGCACTTGCACTTGTCCTGCCTGAATAATGTACATCTCGCGGCCGATCTCTCCCTGCAATGAAGATGGGTGCTGCGTGGGGTGCCCAGAAACAGGGAGACCTTATGGATGCCCTAACCTGCATCTTGCTGGAAACCTCCACGACCATACTGCCCTCTCCAAGCTCTCAAAACGCTTTGTCCTGATGTTGCCCACTCCCGAGCATCCTCATCTAAGCATCCCAAAGTCCCCTCCAGCTCGGCAGGCTCTTCCCATCTCTCCTGCTGTTCATGGCTGCAGCAGAAGAGGTCAGTCTTTGCACGAGACCAGCTGCAACCGAGGATGTTTTTGCTCTGAATTCCCTCCCTGTGAAGCGGCTTGATGCCACGGTGATGGGCCAGGCCTGGGTTTCTCTGCTCTGCATTGCTCCTAGTGCCCTGCGCAGCCTGGCCATGACACCGGGGATGGCAGGGCACCCGAGCATCTCATTACCTTCTTACACACGTAGTCATTAGGCAGGTAGACCACCGATCTGAGCCGCTTCAGCATGTCGAAGACCATCTGCCTGTCACAGCCCTGAGCCCAAACAGAGCCAACAGTGCCGTTAGTCTGCGCTGGCATGCCAGGCTCCACTGGCCGGGACCCGCGCTGCAGAGGGTACCTGGAAGAGGGCCACTTTGCTCACGATGTTGTAGTTCACGTTGATGGCCATGTCCAGCCTCATCTTGTCCGGCAGCTGCACCAGCAGCTCTGACTCATCTGTGAGACGAAGCAGAAAACTGGCTGTTACCAGCACTTGATCCGAGAGTGCGTCCTTGGCGTGGCCGTGGGAAAGCAGCCCGCATTTTGGTGGCAGAGGGCAGGAGCCAGCATGCCCAGAAGGGTGTCCTCCAGCCTCTGCCCACCCAGCAACCTGCAGGTCTAAAGCCAACAGGTGATGGAGAGCCACCCTTTGCGTTATCCCTGCCCCGACAGCTCTCAGAGGCAGACCGGTAAGCCCAAGCCAGCATCTTTCTTGGCCAGGAGAGTGGGCGCGGAGGTCCTGCCTGATGATTTACTGGTAGGGTGGGCTAGTGGGTTTGCTGTTGGACACACTCTGGCCAGCGATTGCCAGTCACTGCCCTCTCCCCGGGGACCGTCAGCTGGGATGCTGGATGTGGTGCGCTATGAGTGATGCCGGGTCACCGAGGTGCTGCGACCTGGTGGCAGCCTATATACTCTATTGGTGGGCAAACAAGCCCGTATAGCAAAGGGTAAAACAAGCCACCCCCCGCCCCGAAACTGTGGTGCTGTCTGGCAGTATTTTTTCAGCTCTGCAAAACAACCGCAGTAAAACACATGTGGTGCAAGTGTTGACCCTCGGAGCACTTGGATCTCACCTAGCATGCCTTGCGAATGCCACGTGTACTCGTACCACATTTTCACCCGGTTCTGAACAGTTTTGGGGATTTTGTAGGAGTTCATGTATTTAATGGTATCGTCCATGCAGCTCCGATAGTAAGTTTGCCCTGCAGTAGCGGCGCCGACCACATCTCTCATCTGAATAGGAGAAAGGGGTGGAAGAGATGTTTTAATTGCTGTCGCTTATCCATCATGCAGGTTAAGCAGTCTAGAGCACATATGCTGAGTCCTAACAGCATCTGCCAAATCCTTTTTGTCTACCACCAAAGCAGAGCAGGTCCTTGCACGGGGAAAACAAACCTGGAGATACAAACCTTTGGACCAACCCCACCGAAACCTTCCCCACCTGAGGCTGGGAACTCCCCCTGACTCCTGCTCACCTGCCCTATCATGATGGAGAAAGCAAAGACGCCTGTGAAGTAGTTCAGCAGCTGAAAGACGATCTCAAACAGCGTCTTGGGGTCCGGCAGGCCCCCGATGGTGATGAGGGTTTTGACTGCCCAGTAGTAGCAGCGGATGTAGCTGGGAGGAAAAGAGGAGGCAGCTTTGAAGGCGTTTCTGGCGTGAAGGCCTGTTTCACCCCTCAGTACCGAGCTCACATCCTCTGGCCATGGCAAGCCAGAGCCTGCTGAGAGTAGGTGGGTGACGAAGGGAAAATTAAGGGGCTGCAGACTCCCCACCACACCTGCAGGTGCTGCTGGAGGTGCTACAGGAGCAGGGGGACGTAGGAACCCTCCAGAAACCTCTGCATGGGATGCTCAGCTACTCTGGCTACTCCCATTTTCTGCTTCTTACAGCTCCACTACCATAGACCAGCAATGCATTTCCAGCAACATTTACAGTTTTAGAAACAGTCAGGGGAAAAAAAGGGTTTGTGAGCAAATTGTTAGCATGGGACTCAGATGTCAAGTGAATTATCGATTCACTGGTCGTGGGCACTCCCTTGGACGGTATAATTACACCTAGAGATAGATACAGATATGTATATCACACAAAATAACTATACAGCAGCAACATTAATGTGGGAAGCTGAGTGCTCAAAGGGAAGGCAACACCCGCACTAAGGCCTCCTGGGTGACAGTCAGTTGTCCCCACCTATACCCACGCCTCACGCTAAGTCTTTAATGCACGTGCCCACCCCTTTTTTTGCAGGAAACTCTTATTTACTGCATGGTGCTAAATTAGTTAAATGTTACTCAGTTTTTATTTTGCCCATGTTGTACAACCTGCAGGCGTGGGCATTCGTTACGAGGCAGCATTCAAGCTTGCGAGCCGAGTGCTCTCCCTGTGGCATCCATCACTGACAGTGCAATGAACCTTTAACACGTGTATCTTGGAAACGCCACGGCGAGGGGACGGGGTGGCCACTGTCGCTGTCTTGCACCCTGGGAATGAGGGCGCTGGTCTGGTCTGAGGGGCCTGACACATGGCACCTAGGACACACAGCTTGAAGCCTCCATCCTGACCTGGCAGCAGCAGGTCAACACGAACAGAAACAGGGCTCACACTGCCATCCTGCTCGGCCAGGGAGCATTCCCTTGCTTCCCAGCACCAGGTTCCCAGTTTTTCAGCCTCTTGGAGCTGTGATTGCCTTTGATCTCAGCCGAACTGCAGCCTCTTTGTCTTGCAGCACTGTATATTACTGCACATCCCATCCCTCCTGTCCCCGTCATTCTCCCTGGCTGCACATCTTCTCCTGGCACCTCCAACTCTTTCCTTCAGGGGTTTTTATGAACCCAGCTGCATCCTAATACCTCCCTTCTTGCTCCAGCTCATCACAGCAAGCTGTGCTATGTGAGGACCCAAGCCCTGGCTTGTACCTGTTTCCTTCCCCATCATAGACCCAGGTGGTAGAGCCCAGTCCCTCGTAGGCTGATGCCCAGTAATAGAGGCAGGAGTTCACGTGCAAGCTGTACAGTAAATAGGCAGTGGTCCGAATCACTCTGCAAAAAAATAGGAAAGAGCAGGAGGGGAGATATGATATGGCGTCTGCTGGGAGAAACACGTCAGGTCCCCCCCGCCATCACAAGGAGCTTCGAAGCGATGAGCCGAGCGCTGACCATGCAGGTCCCGCCAGTGCAGGAACCACAGAGCACCCAAACGTGCGGCCCCGCTGCTCTTTCCCGCAGCCCTGCAGCTACAGAAGTGCCAGAAAAAGCAGCTTATCTGCCGGTGGCTCCTCTTCACCACCAGCACCCCTGTCCCTGCGGGGTCAGGGAGAGGTGATCCTACCCACGTGGGCTCCAGGACCCCCACATCCCACCTGCATCAGCCAACGCCCACGTCAGCCGGTCCAGGGACAGTGGGAAAATAAATCAGAAACCCAGAACGGGTGCACACCAAAGTGAACTTTCTCCCCCCGTAGCAACAGCAACTCCATGCTCCCTCCCTCCCTCCCTCCCTTCCCCTCACCTGTAGATGTAGGCCTTGCTCAGGATAGACTCCAGGCGGCTGTTGAACTCGAAGAAGGCCATGTACTGGGAGGAGAAGGAAAGCAGCGTGCTCCAGCTTCCCGCAGCCCCCGCCGGGAGAGTTACGTCCCCATAAAACCCCACCCCGCCTCTGTTTCCCTCCTGCAGCCCCTCTGCAGCATGAGCTGCCGCAGACAGATTTGGCTCCATCTATAAGTGCCCTTCTATTCAAATGTGAGCGTGTTTTAGGATTGAAATGAAGTGTTTGACCAACAGCCCCGCAAAGCCTTCGGGACGAGACTTCCCATCCATTTTACAGTCCTCTTGTCATCATTGATGAGTCGAGCAAGCCACAGCTTACCCCAACCAGTGTGGGACTCCTTCACATCCCCTGCGACTGGTATTTTGCCTGATTTTGTAAGCTCCAACTCACCTTCAGACAGCGAGGAAAACGCAGGAGTGGGTTGACACCGACTTTGAGGTATAAGAAATCCAGGGGCAGGAGGCACACCACATCCATCTGAAATCCACACAAAGAGAGAAACCTCTGTGGAGACCTGCAGGCACGGTGGGATGAAGCTGCAAGCCATGGCTCAGATTAAAGATTCAGATTAATAAATAAAATTACGTCTAACCTTAAAGCGTTGTGATTGCAGGTAGTTCTCTTTCATGGCCTTTTTATCGGTCTGGTTGGGAATAGGAGGGAGAGAGAGAGAGAGGAAGATTGATCATGGCTTACAGAAAGGAAAGTCATGGCCAACGTGGTCGTGCCTGGCTTTCCTCTTCTGCACCACAACAGGGAAGATGCTCCCTTCGTGCCTGGGAAGGGGAGCAGAGCAAAAGGAGCAGAAGAAGACCTGGCCGTATGCCATCTTCCCATCCTATCTTGGGACATCTTGTGCTTGTTTTGCACCCCAGAGAAAGCACATTGCAGTGCCTGCACCACAAAAATCAGAGTTTACAGGAGAAACCTCCCTGTCTGAATATTTGCATGGGCAATGGGAAGGCTGTACCCTCAAGGTTTTATTTTTCACAGCTTATTTAATTGGGTATGGAAGCCATATCCACTTATCTCAGGCGCATGATCTAGGCATTCAGACTGTAATTGCTTTTGTCATATCGCTAATGCCTTCTGCCTAGCTGTGCTCCTGAGAATTAAACCCAGAGTTTATGCCACCTGCTCACGATTAGCAGTGTACGGCTGCACTGGGGCCGGTCGGCGCGCACCTCACCGCACCACTGGCAGGACCGCCTTGCAGAGCAGCACCCTCCAAGCATCCCTACCCAGGAACGGGGCCGCCATGGACCACATGCTTTCTAGATGGGCTGGTATTGACTTTAGGGGAAAATTAGGTATTTTTGGCGGACAAAAAGACTGCCGGCTTATCCACTACATGGCAGGAGAGATGCTTGCAGTCCTCCAAGAGTGGACACAGCCCTGATGGCCACGGCTGTGGCGGAAGAGCATGGAGAGCTTGATTCAGAGATCAGTGACAAGCGCCATCCACGCGCTCGGGGTGATGGGGATGGGAGGTCCCCGCAGCTGGTCCCCAGCAGCGGGACACAGCATGCTGCCACTCACTATTATGTCTCCCCCCCGGACGAACTGCAGCCGGGTCTGAAAGACGAGGATGTCCAGCAGATAGATGAGGTCGCAGAGGTAGTCCACGAACAGCCAGCAGTGGATGTTTGACGGTGTCTGGTAGGGAAAAGCCCAGCGGACGGGGATCAACCAGCAGTTCCAGTTCCAGGCCATGACAACGAAGAACAGCCACAGCACGTACATCAGGTCTGCGCACAGGGAACCACACCACCATTAGCTGGGCATACATCCCTTGCCCGTGTGAATCCGCTATGCAAAGGGGTTTTCATCCCCTGACCTGCCCTGAGTGCAAGGAGGAAACCTGCGGGTCTCTTATCGATGGCATTTAATTGCAAGTGAGCTGGGCTGTAGATGCAAAGCGAATACCACCAGTTGCAGAGCACATTGCTTTTTATCAGAAAGCTTCTTCTAACTTTGCTGGTTCAACTAGGTTTGCTTTTGCTTTGCTCCCACAACACCGACGACTTTCTCGCTTTGCTTTTTTCCCCTTGAGGCTGTGCTGAGCCAACTGCTGGCTGCCTCAGCTTGGGGGCTGTGAAACGGCTGTGAAATAGCAAGGACTAAGGAAGGAGCTGGGATCCTGTGGGGTGTCCACCAGGCAGTGGATTTTTCCTTTGTGATTTTTATTCCCGTTTGGGGTGTCCACACCACAGGGACAGTGTTTGCCCGCTAAAGAGCCTGAAAAGCAGAAGGCTGCCCCTTCTCTGCCTGGTCCTGCTCCTGACACCCACAGCCATCAGGAAGTATTTAGGCAAGCCTGTGCCTTGCAGGGGAATTTAAAACTCTGGTTTTTTTGGTATACAGATGTAAGCTAAGTTGCTCCTTGCTTAGTTGTCCTCCCTTCTCTACTTCTCATCTTTTCCACCTCCTCGCCTGCTCCCCTCCTTACCCCCTCTTCCCCAGCCCCACCAGCTTGTCCCCAGCCCGGGCGCGTGGCCGTGCTCCATCACTCACTGGTGAGCGGGTCGATGCTGCTGGGGAACTGGTAGTTTTTCAGGTGGTGCAGCCAGGGCCGGTACTTGAACGTGCAGCACAGCATCTCGCAGTAGTGCTCGTCCCCCACTGGCTTGTCCCCCTCCGGCTCCCCTCCCGGGGGAGGCACCGGTGCTGCCACGGGTGCCAGCTTGGCAGGGGCTGGGAGAGGCCACACAGTTATTTTCAAGGGCAGAAAATCATCTTCCGGCAATTTGTTTAAAGGTCTTTAAATTGATAATGAAACAGCTGTCTCCCTGAAAACACAGCGTGTGTGGGGACCCACCAGTTAAGTGCTCCCAGCCCCACTCAAACTCACATGCGTCAGGGGTCTCGTCATCTGAGGTGATATCGAGGTCAGTTAGCTTCTCCTTCACCTTCTCAGTCCTCTCTTTGAAGAGCTTCACCAGCTCCTGAAGCCGGTTGTTGATGATGGAGCTGCTCAGGCTCGTGGCTGAACCGACGCGCTTGGGCATGCTGCAAGGAGACCATCAGGCATTTCATGCAGGTAGGAAAGCACAAGGGCAGGTTCATGACCCATTTTTTAACCTACAGGATCCTGAATTAGGATTTACCCATATTTATTTGGCTGTTGTGTAATCAGAAGAACACAAATAAAGGTGGTTTCAGCAAAATACTGTCAAGCAGCACCAGCCTGAGCCTCATCCTTGCCCTGGGGTGTGAGATGCCCTCAGAGGGACTTGGGAAGCACCAAGATCCCAGGCTGGATTGCACGCGCTTGGGAGAAGATGATTTTGGAAGAACTATGGGATGAAAATGTGCACCAAACCCCTGAATTTATAAACTATATCTTCTCTTTTCAGCCTCTTTATTAAAACTAGGATGGATTCAGACCAGGATGCTTTACCTAGCATGACTGAGAAGCATCAATACGAGGGAGGACAAAAACAAGCTTGTTTGCTGTAGCTCCAGGCCAGTTCGTTGTAATAATTGGCACAACGATTTCTGCCCAGGAAGAAGGCAAAACCCTGCACCATGTGGAGGTGCAGACCTTCCCCAAGACTTTGCTTCCCAGGGAGGGCAGCTCCCTCCAAGGCTGTCCCCCGGGGCTGCAGGCAAGCCAGGACCTGGGGTACGTGATGCACAGCTTGTGCTCACTTCCTACACGGAAGAAAAAGGTTATTTCTCCACAATCAGTGAAAACAAGGCGTCCCCATAGTGCTATAGCATGTGTAGATCAAAGGTGCATCTTCTCGGTGGTTAAACCTCGTCTTAAGGAGAATATTTCTACCTGGATACAGGAAAAACAAGAGAGCAGTTTCTGCTCCAGGGAGCATCGTGATCGTTTTTTTTTGGAGAGGGGGTGCATTACTTGTTACACAGTGCTAGACCAGCTGCGGGCACGGCTCCCTCTCTCTTTGGTATCCCAGCACTTCTAAGATCTTTGCTATTTCCACCCAAGCCCCGGGATCCGAACCCCTGGGAGCTTGGCTGATCCAGAGCCCCTCAGTTCCACCACGCACCTTTCCCTCTGCTTCTCGTCCCAGCCCAGCAGCGCTTCGTCGTGGGACTGGCTCACCTGTCCCTCACCCAGACCATCCGCCGGGGCCGGCAGCTTCCTCCTGTGGACACAAACACAGCAACTGACGCTCGGCTTGTCCCTCATCCTCAGCCAGCTCCTCTCCCTCCTCCTCCTCCTCCTCCCAGGTCTCATCTGTTTCCACTTCCCCTTCACCTGCCAGGGTCAGTGTCCCCCTAATTTTTGGCGTTGCCTGAAGTTAATGGGAGCAAACCACCCTGCTCCTTTGCTGCTAAAGCCCTGTTCCTTCCTGGGCACCACCGAGCCCACGGCTGCACGGGCATGCAGCCACCTGGCCCATTTTGCAACCCGTTTTGGGCACCTGGCAAGACGCACAGAGGGCAGGCACCGCGCTGGGCTCGTCCCCAGTGCCGCACCATCACGCCACTGCACTTCAAGAGGCAGGCAAGGAAAATGCAATACCGGTGAGGTGGAGCAAAAAAGTGAAATCTGGACAAAAGGGAGGGTACTGGGGACACCGCCCAGCTCTGAGCTGGCTCCGTGGCACCTTAAACTTCTGAGACAAAGAGCGAGTTGCAGAGCAACGGGTACGTAACATGGACCCTTTAATGGCTGCAGACACCTGCAAAGCCAAGTGCAAAATGCAACAGCTAAGAACGGCTCCAGGTTCAAGAGGAGCACTATAAATGCTGTCCTGGCAATGCTGAACCAGTGGCAGCTGATACCTTCCTAGAAGATGTGTCCTGACACAGCTGGTGGCTCCTTTTGGCACAGACGGGTTTCTGGGACTACTTCCTTACATGTGGGCAAGCAACGCGGCAGAAAGAGATCTCAATATGAAGATGACAATCGCGACAAAAATCTGGTTTGCAAACCTGCAGTCAAGTCCAGAGTTTCAACTGCGACAAAGAAATTGTCTTCCGCCACCACAGCTGTTGCTCTAAATTAACCAGGATTTCACTGACCCTGGTGCAAAATGGCTCAGTGCCGCATGTGGAGCAGGAGCAAGCAGGACGCTGAGGGAGGTCGTCCTGCCATCGCAAGTCTCCTGAAGAAAGCCAAATGTGATGAACCCACCCGCCGCCAGCCTCGCTGGCTCTCAGGCGTGCCATGCTGGGAAGGGGAGCAGATGAACAAGACCAACGAAACCTTCATTCCCCAAGTGCGCAGCACAGGGGCAGAGGAAAACCACCAACCCCCCTGTTAAAGTACCCTCAGATGTGGGTGGAGAGGTTCCGAAAACCACATCAGTTTGGAGAAAGAGGCCTGCCAAGGTTCGTGATGTTGTTAGGACAACATCCATCGCCTCTCACTGGTCTCCAGCTGCCCTTCCCCTGCCTCTGCCCCTCGAGGCACCACTCTGCCCCATTGCCCATCCCCATCCATGAGCAAGCCCAAGATGCCTACATCGGCAGCCCAATGGCCTCTTGCTCTGTAAGGGGGACCCTGCAGAGAAGGTATCGCCGTCCCCCCCTCTTTGCCTGTGGCATGGCTCCCCACGGGCCACAGAGCTCGCGTGGTCACCCTCCAAGCACATGCAAAGCTGTGTGTGTCAGCATCCATCTGGGAAAAAAAAAGCTTCTTTTTGCTTCATATTAATGGCTGCCCTCAGAAAGATGTAAAAGGAAATAAATGTCCCCAGGAAGGCTGTAATTCCAGAGGTGCAGGAAACATCCCTTGATATTCTGCAGTGCCTGTAGTTCACCTGCGTTCCCAGCAGATGCAGACATGAGAAGGAGCAGGAGCTACCCAAAAAGCAACGCAAACTTCAGCGGATTTTGGAAACTGGTGGGTGAAGGGCTCAGAGGGAACCTGGAATGTTACATTAAGTCCCATGGAGAAGCTCACATATGTCCAAAACCCTGGCAGGTCTAGCAGTTTCTTAGTCATCCATGGGAAAAAAGGAACCTGCGTGATAAGCCCCTGGAAAACATTCAGTCCTTTGATACATTCCAGCTGCAGGGGACATTTTTTGGGACAGGACCTCCAGACCGCTGGTCAGAATGGCACTAAACCCCAGATTTTTTTCCACTGATGCATGAAGACTTCAAACCGCATCTCCTACAATACAAAGTGACCCAAGAGACGCATAGCTAGTGAAGAGGAGGAGTGCGTGTAGACCAAGTAAAAGCTAAAGGTGAAAGATTAAATACATAATTAAATGATTAAATTAATAATAAATTAATAGTCAATAAACTGAGACGTGGAAATGCACAGCACAGGTAGAAAGAGCTGCACGAACCCCCTTGCACAAACACGCAGGAAGCACAAGTATGCAGGATTTGAATACAAGCAATAAAAATGCAAACCGCCACCTCAAGAGGCCAGGTAGAGAGTGCAATTGCCTAAATAAAGGTATAGGGTGAGCGACACGAGGCTGTCAGCTGCTGCCTGGGCTTGGCCATTGGTGTGGACCGTGGGTCACTGCTCTGATGCTGCCCTGAAGCAAAGCCTCCAGCTACGCTCCGGTAGCTCTGCGCCCGGCCACCACGCAACCGTCCACTCAACAGCCAGCCGTGATGGAAGACCTTGTCGCAGCCTAAACATTGCTCCATTTTTCAATGCCCTTGGAAAGCTGCGGCCGTAAGCACCGGGCTGTCCTGCGCCTGCCTAGAGCAATGTGGGGTGCACAGGGTCCCTCACAGAGGCACTGCCCATATGGCATCGTCCGGTGTATCCTAGTATTTATTGCCTGCAAGAGCCTGTTTCCAGGCATCAGTTAGACAACATGTGGCTCTTCTGCGGTGAGTCTTTCGCGACTGTCTAAACGTTAACCCTAATCCTTCGCAGCCCCACACAGGAAAAAACTCAAGACTGTGGCCAATAGAAGTGACTTAGGATAAATGGATGATTGCTCAATGCGGAGTTGATGCCCTCTTCCTCTGAAAACACCAGCCAGAGCCGAGCGCTTTCCTTCTGGTTCAGAATGATGTAATTTTATTTCTTTATGTAGCGAAACAGGAGTTGCTTGCTTTTAAAAATCTCCAGCTCTACCAAGGGACCTCCAGTGTTGTCTTGAGAGACGCTACCTGCAGACATGGCAGAAAGGTCCATATGCTCATACTGCATATATGACTGCCTTTAAGAAATTGGTAGAAAATAGCATGAGAAAACTGAGGTGCTGCAAAAATATAGCTCTACTGGGGAACCATAGGATCATAGTGGTTAAACATTGGAACAGGCTGCCCCGGGGAGCGGGTGAGTCACCATCCCTGGAAGTATTTAAAAGACGGGTAGATGAGGCGCTTAGGGACATGGTTTAGTGGGCATGGGGGTGTTGGGTTGACGGTTGGACTCGATGATCTTGGAGGTCTCTTCCAACCTTAATGATTCTATGATTCTATAGAATAGTTTGGGTTGGAAGGGACCTCTGAAGCCCCTCTAGTCCAACCCCCCTGCCATGGGCAGGGACATCTCCCACTAGATCAGGTTGCTCAGAGCCCCGTCCAACCTGACCTGGGATGTTTCCAGGGATGGGGCATCCACCACCTCTCTGGGCAACCTGGGCCAGTGTTTCACCACCCTCAGCGTAAAACATTTCTTCCTTCTATCTAGTCTGAATCTACCCCCCTTTAGTTTAAAGCCATTCCCCCTCGTCCTGTCGCAACAGGCCCTGCTAAAAAGTTTGCCACCATCTTTTTTATAAGCCCCTTTAAGTACTGACAGGATGTGAGCCTCGACCGCTCTCCAGCGACGAGCTGCTTGTCACAGGAAAATTTTCATCGCTGGGCTAATAGAAAAAAGGCAGTGAGATTCAGCAGGTTTTAAATAATTGGCCTCTTAACGCTGCCAGTGTTTGCACTGCAGGTGTTTCATATGACTCCTTGGGCTCTGCTTTCCCAGTTTAAAAAGCTGTTCAACAGACTGGATTATGGACATTTTTACCATCTTAGTTTCAATACCTTCAGGAGCTTGTTTACTAAAAGATCCAACCAAAGTGAGCGTGGATATAACACCTGGTTTTCAGCACAGAAAAAAAACACCTTGGTTTTTGTTTTTAATCCTCTTCAAGAATGAGCCTCAAAAAAACACTAACAACCAAAAACCCATCAGCTTCCTCCAGCTTCAGTTTAAAAGCTCAGTTTTAATCCTCCCCTCTCCGAGCATCCTTGATCCGAAGACACACAAAGCCAGGTGGGAGATGCTGCAAACCCTTCCAGCAAAAACGCAAGAAGAAAATTGTTGTTTTTCATGATGAAGACCCGTATCCAGCACACAGAACCCCCGCGCTCCAAATTTGGGAGCGCAGACACTCGTGTCAACAGACAAATGGGATCTGACCACAACCTGGGGATCGAGCCCATCTCCAGTAGGACACACAGACAGGGCTGTCCCTGGCCCCCGAAAGCTTTAAACAAAATTTAACCATTTAATTAAAAAATGCAAACAAGAGGCAAGGCTTTTGCCATCTCCCCTGCCTTGTATGGGGGTGACACCCGCTGCACATACATCCCCCCGGCTCACTGCCCAAACCCGCCAGAAACGGGTTGCTCTATATGGTTGAATAAATTTTCCTGTA